ACACACACACACACACACACACACACACACACACACACACACACACACACACACACACACACACACACACACACACACACACACACACACGTACCCTGGCAGGCTCTGCCGTCGTCCATCAGTCGGTATCCGGTGTGACAGGTGCACTGGACCAGGCCTCTGACCATCTGACACTTCTGGGAGCAGCCTCCGTTATTCTGGTTACAGTTGCCCTCGCTGGAACGTGGACCTGCACGCCGCACAGGAACATAAACACAGCATGCTGATTCAGTAAAAATACAACCACACACTGTAAAAAGTGTGACTCATCTGGTGTTGAACCTAGAAATATTTGAGGCCTATAAGCAGCAACGCCTGAGGAGTGTGATCAGCCTCTTGCAGGTTTATTGGGGCATTAGGCCTAAATCTCACCTTAACTAAATACTTTATGTATTCATATTTATGAAAAAACACTTATCTAACAGCAAGGTAAACCATTGAACATATCATATACTGTAACATAAGGGTTTTTCAAAGGGTCTAAAATGATTTTTCCTAGTTGACCCCTAGTGTTTATCCAAACTCGGGTAGTATTATCATCTATTATACTGTATGTGATAGACTGACTACGGACCTCATAAAACTCCACTTGAAACGACAAAAATATACCATTAAAAAATCATATTCAGATAATCATATTCAATCTACTCACGGCAATCATGGTGCGGGTGTTCGTCAGTCCCGTCTCCGCAGTCGTTGACCTCGTTACACACCTTCCTCTGACCGATGCAGCGTCCATTACCACACTGGAACTGATCAGGAGCACATGGAGGACTCTCTGTGGGGAGAAAAGATAATATATCCTGTGAGACAACAAACTCTCCTACTCTTTATTTTTGAGCTATTTTGCTTTGTTTTGGGTCGTCAAAGCTCCAAATTATATCACCGTCATTGAGTGTTCATTCTGCGCAGTGATACGGTTGGTGTAGTTTAATTGAAAAACATAGTTCCTACATAAAAAAAAGAAGCTATCATCAAGCTCTTTTGACTATTTTACGTAACCATGTAATCATTTCTGAAAATAGACACAGCTGTTGAGTTCTTCATACGGCTGTCATCTAGTTTCATCATATCAGACAGAAGAGAGAACATGCCATGGCTGATATGCTCAGCCACTCACACCAAAAACTGGAGGTGAGTCATATGCATGTTTTAGGGGGTGTGAATTGTCCACTTTGTACCTTTTCCATCTTTTTCTCTTTCCTGTTCATTGATCATTCATATCTCAACATTAAGGCCAGGTTCTACAGTTGGTCCAGAGATTGATAAAGCAGCAGAATAATTGCCAAACTGATCAGTCTATTGGTTGAAAGCCACTGTGTTTCTCAACAGTATGCAAAATAAATAAAAGTGAGTTTGTGTGTAGAGGAGGGCTGTTCTGAGCTGTTGTCATGACAACGTTTGAAGCTGGTGTTATATTTAGCTCCTGAAAACAAGACCACGAGCACAGTCTTACCCGTCTTCTCACAGCCCTCTTCATCACTGCGGTCGGAGCAGTCAGGCTCGCCATCACATCGCCATGACAACCGGACGCAGCGTCCAGTTCCACAGCGGAACTGGTCGGCCGTGCACATGGACGTGGCTGCAGGAAACACACACACACACACACACACACACACACACACACACACACACACACACACACACACACACACACACACACACACACACACACACACACACACACACACACTTTCTTAGATAAGGTGATTTGATAAAGTGCCTTGTTTTTTCAGAACCAGCATGAAAACCGGGATAAAATGCATAACCATCTAGCATTTGTATCTTATGCAGAGCACACACTCGCTCAGTCAGTGTGATGAAAGCAGCTACTCACTGCAGTTCTTCTCGTCTGATTGGTCGTCACAGTCGTATTCGCCGTCACACCTCCAGCCAGCGTTGATGCACATCCCACTGCTGCACATGAATTCCACTGATCTGCAGGGCTGGTGGGAAGCTACACACACAGGATTATATTATTAACATGAAAAACAAAACAGACAACACAACTATACCTGAAGCATCTTTTTAGAATAAAAAATCTCTACTTGGAGTTCGTTATTCTGTCAGAAATACAAAAAATACTAAAAGTTTCAGCATCGAGGAGAAAACATCAGGTTGCTTTTAAAAAAACAATATCAAAACTTTAAAAAACTTAAATGTACATTTTTCTGTAAAATGTAAGTTAAAGGTGGGGTAGGTAATTTTGGAGAAACCAGCTCGAGTGCGCTAGAATTTGAAAATACACAGCCGGAAAAAAACTGGAAACACACATGGTTTTATACCAGTGATCTAGCTTTCCCTTTAAACATGACTCGGTCCTGTTTATTTAGGCTGCCTTGTGATCATCTCTGACTACAGATCAGAGCTGTCCCACCTTTTAAATGTCCCACCACATCTCAACATGTGATCGGATCAAAGAGAAGCTCAAACTGGCAGCAGCAGACGAGGCTGGAGGTGGACGAGAAGATTAAAGCTGAATCAAACATAAGTATCTTAAATCCCTGTGTGTGTGTGTGTGTGTGTGTGTGTCGTCTTCTGCGTGTCCTCCTGATGGCATGAGTCGGCTCCCATCAAAGCCACAGTGGGCGGGAGATAAGGGAGGAACAAAAATGACAAACTAGGGGAATGCAGGGGGAGGAAAGGCAAGAAAAGAAGGGATTTTGTCGAGCTCCAAGCATCACCGTGAAGGCTTATCAGCTGGGCGAGAGAAGACAGAGATGATCAAAACAGCAGGTGGCTCTCCCACAGAGAGAGAGACGGAGAGAGAAACGTATAGGTCACAAGAACCAGCATGGGATGCCAACAAGCACGCTGGCGCCAACACACACTCGGATGATTCATCCTTCTCCCTCTCCCTTACACACTTACGGTTCTCTTTCATCTTCTCAGCTACGCACCCGAAAGCAGTATCGGTGTTGGTAAGCGGTAACGAGGCATGACTTTTTTGAGTGTTTGTGGATGTGTGTGTGTATGAGTGAGGGAGAAGGAAAGAGAGGAAGAGAGAAAGAGAGGAAGAGGGAGGCTTCTTCTCTAACAAAGCGCCCTTCATGTGTCTGGAGAGCCGATGCCAAGGAATGCTGTCTGAGGATGGGCCGTTTTAGGCCTCTGAGGAATGCCCCCTCTGTGTGTGTGTGTGTGTGTGTGTGTGTGTGTGTGTGTGTGTGTGTGTGTGTGTGTGTGTGCGTGCGTGCGTGCGTGCGTGCGTGCGTGCGTGCGTGCGTGTGCCCACACACTTCTGTGGGTTTCTGAAAGCTAAGATGTATTCAGACTTTTTTTTAAAGTTTAATGAAATGGAATTCATTGCGATTTTGATCAGAAACTGAATGCCGACATTCTGCTGGTCATAGAAAACGTAAGATACATTATTAAGAGTATGTTTAAAAATTTCAGGAAATGAAGAGTCAGGGTGACATGAGGTCATTCTAGTGTCAGTACATCAGACAGGATGTAGATTGAATAATAAAACGTGTTGGTTTCTAAGCCAAAAGTATACATATAGCTCTTGTGCTGCTTTGATTCCACTGCACACCTTTCATTATTGTTTTCACTTTTTTAAGCTTTGCTGCCAGCTCAACTTTCCAAAAATATATATTAAAAGATTTCAGAAGCGAGGCGGAAATTCAAAAACCTGGATGTGGGAGGAGACGGGGGAGAAACGGAGAGCAGCTCAGTCAGCTAACATGACCAAAATGTGTTAGGAAGAACCTTGAAGCTGCACTTATCGCACTGCAGATAAACACATCAAAGGGGGGAAACCGCTGTGTTTGAGAGTGTGTGTGAGAGTGAGAGAGATGTGGAGGATGGTTATAGAAAATGAGCGAATGAAACAAACATGTGAGAAATTAGAGAGGAGAGAATGAGGAGGGAGATGCTGAGAGATTTGTCAGCAGCAGGCAGCGTCTCCGGGGTGGGGAGAGCGAAACACGATAGTCTGTGTTAATCAGGACCATGGCTTCACACTGTGTGTGCGTGTGTGTGTGTGTCATACAGTGACAAAAAAAGATCTAACAGACAGAATGTCTTCCAGCTCTCACAGATGCTGTGGAGCGGCGCCCCCCAAAAAGCAGCTGTTGATGAGCTCAACCTGACGTCAACTGACTGTGAAATCGTGAAATTGACACTAATTGTTATGATGATTTCTGCATGTATTACTGTCTAATGTCCAATGCTAATGACTTAAATGGCAAAAAAAGTTCAAAATGAAATGCTTAACCCTGAAACCCTTTAATTGTTCTGCTTTGTAAAGACTGTGTGGGTGTCGTGTTACCACAATTGAAGCTGATCCAGCTTGTTGCTGTTTTATTTCAAGTCTTTGGGTTTTTGGACTGCTTCCTGGACAAAACAAGTCGCTTGGCAGTGTCATTCAGCTCACAGAAGTAATTTCCATATTTTTCTGACATATTACAGATTAAGCAATTAATCGGTTGTTCCAAAACTCAAACAGTGTGCCCCCTTTGGAAGTGATTCAGCTGGTGCATCCACTCAAAAATGACAAATAAATGCCTGTCTAGATAAGCCTATAATGTTCATTTAAACTCCAGCTGAACTAGTAGGGCAAGCTGCATGACACGAGGATGATTCGCTGTGTTGGTACACATGTGCAGCAGTGCCATGGGGGGACATGAAGGGGAGAGAGTGATGCAGAGGTGAAGAAGGATTGAAGGGAGGAAGGATGGCTGCCACAGGGAGGAGAAACTCTCATCTAATGGCATAACAGAGGACTGATGTTCCACAGCAGCGCCATGTTCTCCTCCTGCACAAGACGCTGTTTAGTGAAGAGCGATGCCGTAGATCGTGCAGAGTATCAGTGAGCAAGGAAATATCAGCAGCTCACTGTGAGCTCAACGGCAGGAAAGGCTGGTTCACTCCAAAACGTGTTTCATGTTTCTTTTTGGAGATATGTTGGAGTTTGCATCTTAGATATTCAAGTGAAATCATTTTGAAAACATTTCCTTCTGCCAAAAGAAAGTTTACTAAAAGTAAGGCAGCATTAGTTTAGCTGAGGAGAACTATTATGGCAAAAATAAATTAGGAATAGGATTTTTTTTTTTCAGGAATAAGAATAGCTGACGAAAGAGAGTTTATGAACATTCTGAATAAAAATAATGAATAGAAGTTTACTTAAATGTAATGACCTTTTTTTGACTAAAACTATGAAGGATAAAAAAGACTCAAATCTGACAATGTAATTTTGTATAAAAAGTAAGACTTTACAAGTTAAAAAAAAAAAAAAAAGCTAATACTAATATATCTGCTAGTGGATTATTGTCTAAAGGGGAAGATTCTCTGTGAGGCTGGAGTTTAACCAACACCTAGAGTCAATGTCAGGTCTTCCTAAGTGTGTTTGTGTGTGAGTAATGGAGAGCTTACAGCAGTCCGACTCGTCTGACCAGTCTCCGCAGTCGTCGTCTCCGTCACAGTGGTAGATGTCTAGGATACAGCGGCCATATGCACACTGGAACTCCTCCACGCTGCAGGTGGCTGCCATCACATCTGAGGCTGCACACACACACACACACACACACACACACACACACACACACACACACACACACACACACACACACACACACACACACACACACGTTAAACAGATGCCGGAAAAGATGGTGCAGCAGCTGGCTGCCTCAGGCTCTCTGAAGCTTCCTCTGCAGAGTCTGTCAGAAACTATACATGAAATAAAGGAGAGACTGCGCTCTCTATTAACACTGTGAACACATGCTCTGCAGTAAAGCAGTTACTGTTGGATCAGACAACAAACTCAATAACAACCGTTTAGATGTGGAAATGTGTTCATTAAGAATTATTTAATTTAATTTTTCTAACCGTTATGGATAATAAGATGAATCACTACCACAGTATGTGTGATCGCTTTTCTTTTCCTGCTTCATGTTTGATTCAATCACTCTCTAATGAGTCCAGGAAAACAAATCTACAATGCCAACTGGGATTCTTTTACTTAGGTTTGGGAAATTGGGCTTCTCTCATTTGCTGGAATTAAAAGCCAGCTAAACACACTGATTGATGGGCTTCCCAGGAGCCACAGCTTTTAGTGGATTAAAGTCTACATTAAAGTGGATATACATAATAATAATAATGGGTTTCATTTATAACGCACTTCATATTTGAGTTAAAATCCAGAAGAGCTACAAGCAGTGAGCATGGGGCAATATAAAACAGTACACAACACGGCAGAATTGAATAAAAAGCAGTAAAAACAAACAATAAAAACTCTTTATGTAGCTGAAAATGGCTCCCTAAAGAAACACTATTTGTTTGGTAATCAAAACCGAGTAGTGCTGCCTGTTACCAATCATTTTTGGGGAAGACATTGAGCACCTGCCATAAGCCATTGTTTAGGCTCATATTGTCTCTGACAGCATAGACATTAGATATTTAAACATCTTTAAATCAGCTCACAGGAAGGCTAAGTTTGAGCTACTACCTTAAAATGTATCCGGCCTGTAGGGCATTTAAAATATATATGTTTTCAGAGGTAAAACTGTTTGTCTCTGTGTGGTGAAGGCCCAAACCTTGTTTCACAACTCAAACTACATAATACCATGTGTAGTTGATTCAACCTGAGGAGCATTAGCTCTGGTTTCTTCCTGTCAGGGTTCAAAGTAAATGTTTCGATTTCCTTTTTACTTGTCTGGTTTGGCAAGTGGGTCACAAATCTACTAACCCACCGTATATTTATTTGCTCTTAAACTAATTGTTTCATTTATAAGTGGCAACAATGACTAAACCTAATTGTCATGTTTATTCTTTATTTAAATAAACAAATCCAAGTTTCACCCATATCCTAATATGCCATCCAACTAAAATCCCATTTCTATCATTTAAAGTCTGCACTATGTGTTTAATCACTGCCGTTTTTTAAAGTGTCAGATTGGTATTAGAGATGAGAAGCAAGTGAGACGTTTCAGGTTTTAAATACTTCCATCGTCAGTTCCAGAGAAAATTGTATGTTTACTTTTTATTTGCCACCCTAGACTGCAATATGTACTAACCCCAAGGGACATTTTGCCTGCTCTTTAAAAGCAGGCAATCAGTATCGTTTAGCCTTGTCATTTTTAAACATACAAAATTATATACACACACTGGCAGAGTAACTTACGACAGTTTTCTTCATCTGATCCGTCCTTACAGTCCGTGTCTCCGTCACAGTACCAGTGCTCCGCGATGCAGCTGCCATCTGTGCAGCGGAACTCCTTATCCGAACATTTACGCATGTCTTTTATTAGGGAAGAAACAAGTGTTTAATTTATAAGTTAGACTGAATGAATATGTGCTTGCATGACAGTTTTCACGTGTTTATACACACCACACTGTTCGTCACTATTGTCCCCGCAATCGTTGTCGCCATCACAGTGCCACAGGCTGCGAATACAGTAGCCATTTTGGCATTGAAACTCGTCTTCCTCACACTCTCTGGGAGCTGCAGGGAGAAAACAAAGGATAGAGAGGTTTCAGAGGACATGTTATGAGGTGACAACAAAAGCAAAGAGCAGATACTGGACAAGAATGTGATAAGAGGAAGTAGTCCCTGGGCAGTGCTGACATTATATCTCCAGCTGCAATGATACAAGGGAAACAGTGGCATTTTATATCAGCCACAGAGCTGGGGAGCAGCAACTGAGATTTTTCTTTTGTAAACTCTGTGAACCCTCTCGAGGTCGCAGGTCTAGAGCTCAAAGACCCACAGACTGAATATCCTGTGTTTGATGCTGTCTTCATGGTCACTGACTCAATCCAAGATGTGTAACAAATACACAATAAATCACACTCAGCGGTTAGTTTACAGTTATGTTGGGTCAAATGGATGACAAGATTCCATGAAAAGAGAATTGATATTTCCATAGAAGTATCTCAAACTACAACTAAGACATTATATAGTCCTAATCTCCATTGTCCATCTGCAAAGGGTATACCAAACATGAAGTTTACCCAATTTGAGCTCAATACACTGCATTTAATTCCATCATTGCTACTGTGGATCTCACAAAATTGCTGTTTTCCCATCGGTCAGAAAACATTCAACTGTTAAAAGTGTCAGAAGTCTTCAACGGCATAGCTTTTTGGATGGTTAAACAGCATCTACCAAGACATTTAAGATGGCTGAACTGTTGCATGAAGATGCATCTGTCAATTTCTGTATCTTTTCAAATAATCGGATGCGCACTTTTCAAAGACTTTACAAGAAACATTTGGAGATAGGAAAGTGGGCAGGGTTTTAACTTCTTTCTCAGGCCCTCATTTGAGTTGTCCGAAAGATTCTTCTCCCTCTTACCGAGCAATCAGCCTACTGTGACACTATGAAAGGCTTCTTAGAAGGACCGTTACAAATGTAAACCATTTGACCTACTGTATATTTGAAATGATCTGGTCTCATACCTCAATGACTTTGCACCTGATCTTTAAGGGTTGCTATTAGGAAGTTAATATGTCAGCTATAAACTCTTTGGCACTGCAGAAAGGTCTAAACTTTTCTGTCATTTTCAAGAATTGGATGCAAAAAGAAGCTAAGCAAATCCCCAGTTCCTTTCGATTTTAAACCAGCTTCATTCAGGACAGGTGTAATCGACCGAAGCTGAGCTGCAGCAGCTTGTTTTATGTCCTAATTAAATATATATGCTGCCTTCTGTACGTTAGCAAATGTTGTCTCACTCAAAAGGTAACCTTGAGTCTGAAGAAAAAAAGACAAATGTTCCATTTGACACCCGTGACAGTGCAGTTAGACAGAACTCGCTCCCTCAAGTGAACTCCTCGCACTGTGACATTGACAGTTCCAAACCCTTTCATTTTTCCAAACAACTCCTCCAACTTGCCTCTTTAATCACACCATTGATTCAAAGACTGTATGGATTTTCAGAAAACCGCCTTATACTGTTACCAATGCAATCGATGGCAAAGCCCAGCCATGCTCGCCCGAGGGCAGAGTAAACAGGTTCGTCAAGGAGAGCCAATGATGGATGGCCCCTGGCAGGAGGTAATCTATAATTTATCAGTGGCGTGTGTGAGTGCCGGACAGCTGAGACAAACAGAGAGAGATAAGGAGTGACAGAAATAGAAGGGGGCCCACAGAATAGATAGGCAGGTGAAGAAGAAGATGAAGCTTTGCTTTATTTCACTGAGATCTTTCATCTCCTCTCAGGTGGGTTTCATCACAGCACGAGTCAAAGCTGCTTGAGACAAACTCCACTCTGAGACAAGACATGAGGCCCATGTGTGTTTGTGTGTGTTGCGGAATATTCTCCATGTCCATGAACTTAGTTATCTAGTTTATATGATAAGATATCAAGGTGGCTTAATTCTGTTTCCATTATATCTCATACAATTACAAATGTATTGTTTTTTAAATCTATATTATTATTTTTTTTAAATATCTTTCTGTGTATATTTTTCCCTTTTGTTTGTCAAAATTTGTATTATTTATTTTCTTTCATATTGTCTTTCGATGTATTGACTTTGTAAGGCTAAATGAAACTGAAATTAATAAATTTAAGGAAAAAAATAATAGTTTTCATTACAATATATTAATAAAATGTAAGAACAAAAATATATCTTCAATGGTAAATGTAATCTTAAACATTTCTTTAAGCTAATATTTAAAACTTAGACGTTGTTGAGCTCGACTGATAATGGATTTTTATTTATTATTTAAAATTGATTTTTATATTAGATATTTATTTATTCACATACATTTATAAGGATATATCACTATTTAAAAGGATCCCTTACATTTGGTGATTAAATAGTTGTGACCAGGCTATGTACGGCACAAGCAAAGTAAGTCATTTCTAGTAACTAATCCATCACCATAGAGATATATGATTTATGTTTGATAATCAAATATCGTCCAATATATCAGCCAGCACCCGGACCATCCATCACTCTACCTTTGACAGCTAAACCTCAGCTGACCTCACCCACATCGACCTCCCCTCAGCCCGAACATGCTCTCCTCCCCCAAAAACAGAAAAGGATTTAAAAAACCACAAAAAGCCCATCGGCAGGGCCAAATGAAAATGTAATTATATGTGCATTATCGACAAATGCACTCATTTACTCTATTATTCAACTTATAAGAAAATAATTGATTTTCTCCCTCTCTCTGTTCCTCCCATGCTCCATGTTCCCTCCCATCAGCGAGGTAAACAGAGGGAGGTCGGAGGTCAACAAGCCTCGAAGACGCTCATCATTCACACTGCAGCCAAACGTCAAAGGGCAAAGGGCGCTGGGAGTCATTACCAGGCTCTCTCCATGTGCTGAAATTGTTTTTTTCTTTCTGTGAAATGTACTTTCAAACTTTCAGAATCTCATGTTCAAACACGGAGACTGAGACACACCTCAGTCTCCGTGTTTGTCTGAAAATCTTGACAACTAATTCAGTTCCAGCCGAGCGTGGAGGATTGTCTCCCCGTCTCTAAATAATGAAATGAAACCACGGCATCGCGTTGAGAAGCTGAAAATATTGGAAGGTGAAAGACAGACTAGGGTGAGCATAAAAGAAGCATGAAATAATAAGTAGTTTGGGGAACGGGGCAAATGTACTGGGCATGAAGATGAAAAATTCATAGCTGACTCGAAGCAGACAGACACCCCCCCATCAGGAAGTGATACAGTGTCTGGCTGCTGATACAGCATGTGGGTCAACAAAGGAGGAGGAGAACTCGATAGATGATGGACGTAACGGAGAAATCATTCAGAAGAGAAAAAGCTTACCTGTACCTGCTGTACACTCAAACTGCATGAGGTCTAATACACAAGTGACTGTGGAAATCTATCAATTTCAAGAACGAGGCGATTATTTAAGTGCTAGCTCTAATTGCGGGATCCACCATTTTTATTAAGCAAGTCAATTTCCCCCTCGCTTCGAACACAAAGCATATCTTGTTTTGCCATTAGTGCTCTTTTCATTAAAAACAATAGCAAAAACTGAGTTTGGCAACATCATGAAGTAGCGTGGGATCATGGGAGTTGTAAGTCGCTTTGGATAAAAGCGTCAGCTAAATGTAATGTCATGTAACGTTGTCTTCATTATCGTTGCTGTTATTGCAGTCAGCTTCTCGTGTTAATATCCTGGAGCAAGATTATTCACAGAGGTCTACTCTTCTCCAAAATAAACTTGTTGATTCAAATTGGTAAAGACATTGAATAAAGCAGTTTTAAGTCAAACAATCACAGTTTTTCAGATGTTGCTTGCCACACACAGGATGTTGAAGTCTGCTCTGCCGCCTTCTAAAACGTCCAATCAATAAAATCCTTCATCCAATAAAAACATATACCGTAGTTAAAAACAACCAAAATCTCAAAAGCATATCTAAAACTGTGGCTTAGAACTGGATAATAGTTCATTTATGACAGGTTTGGCAGAAAACCACACAAATTATGCAGGCTCAAATGGGAATAAAAACATTATCTTAATTGAAATTATGTATTTCCCTTGCGTTATTGTAAGTACACTACTTGACAAAATACACCGTATGACATAGGTCTTGTCATTTCTTTACATTTTAATGTGTAAAAGTTCTAATACCAAACCATTTATACAGATGCCTCTATTAATACTAAAAAGCAGTTTCTTAGTCCAACACTTTGGTCCACAGTGAAATATTATTACCAATACTTAATGGTGTTTGGTTTAAATATTCAAAAACCCCAAGAACACATTTAGATGACACCTGCTGAACACTATCTCAAAAACAAATTACTTAACTTGTCTCAACAGGCTAAATGCTTACTCATCAAAGCTGACCAAACACACACTTATTGCTTATAGCTAACATCTGTACCCATTATGTACAAGTGGTAAAATTAGTGGGTAATAAATAAAAACTGCACAAAGGGTCCAGCAATTAACGTACGGGTATAAGATAGGCACATTTTTCAGTCTGAACAGACACCTATATACTGTAATGCGAACACAACAACGGTTAAGGTCCTTGTTTAATTTTTGCATCTGTGAGTTGAGACAGTGCGGTCCATCTGGCCTGCAGATATCAACGGGCTTCAGTCTCCTGAGCTAACCAAACACAAAAAGCTTTCTTTTTCAGCTCGCTGGCTTCCTCATCCGGTGCCCTCAGGCAAGTCCCTGGGTTATGGGCTTATGTTGTTGGTTGTGTTGCCTTTTTACTAAGATCTAATATTTGTGAGGGGGCTTATTTGCAGCATAATCCTCTTCATTGTTTATTCATTCATAGATCAAAGACTGGAGATGTTTCTTAGAAGTCTAACTGTTTAACCATGTGCTCGACTTAATGGGATAGAGGAATCATATCTGCTGATTTCCTAGCTACCTCACAGTCATGTCAAGGAAGTTCCCCCTGCCTCTGGTACACAATGGTAAGCTAGGCTAAACATCCCTCCCCTCATCTAACTCTCAGCACATTTCAGTGTATCCGAGTTAAGATATGTTGTTCACCACACTAGCTCCCTCTTCTGCACTTGTGACTAGCCCATTAGGCTAAAAATATAGCTAAGCTATTATGAGCTAAATAAAGAAATTGTATTAATCAACAATTCCAACAAATTATCGATGTCAAAATGTTGCAATGAGTTAAACAACATGTTGGTGGTTCACAATCCTTAAAACTATTTTTTTTTATATAACTGGGAAGTGTTGAGGTAAAAATAAGTCTGTATTGGTCTTTAGATAGAAGTTGGTCACTGAACGGACACTGGGTGACTCTTTGAGCCATGTGTTGTCTCCATCAGGAACACGTCACTCCCTGTAACTATTCCTGTCCCTGCACAGAGAGTTAAGTGTGATTAGACTGAATCACAAAAGACACCGACAGTGTGATGGAACAACTGCCGTGCAGCGTTCATCCGCACGGATCAGATGGCACACACGGAGCCATTCTGAGTCAATCCAACACTGACACATTTTTACACCAAGGCGCCTCGTATTGACACAATGCATTCCCTAACCTCGCAATACATACCTAAACTCTTGGCATTGCACTTGTATAAAGTTGGGGGATACAAATAACAAATACACATAAACTAATGCTCGACATGCAGTGCTTCTAAATACTTTTTCCATGACTAAGACGTGAGGATGAGAAGGCAACTTCTACGTCATTGAAGAAGTGAGAGAAAGACAAAACACAAACTTTAAATGGACCTTACAAAGATAGAAATACAGGAGCACACACACACCAGGAGGCGATAGACAAATATGACAGTAGAAATAGACGCTCTCCTCCCTTCTCCCTCTGCGGGACACATTCTGCCTGGAAAGCAGCTGAGGGGTATTTTGGATAGAACGCACGGTCATGCACACACACAGATATATTCACAAATGACAAGAAAAATAGGATAAACTGAGGTCACAGAGTGTCATGTGTGGCGACCATGGGAGTGCTAACCTCCTGTGTGTGTGTGTGTGTGTGTGTGTGTGTGTGTGTGTGTGTGTGTGTGTGTGTGTGTGTGTGTGTGTGTGTGTGTGTGTGTGTGTGTGACATCCAGGCAACTCTTTTCAGAATCAAAACAAACTCCTCTTTGCACATGGCTGCCGCAAGCATCTGTCAACTTCAATAACTCATCCCCTCCTGAGTGGAGAGAGAGTGTGTGTGTGTGTGTGTGTGTGTGTGTGTGTGTGTGTGTGTGTGTGTGTGTGTGTGTGTGTGTGTGTGTGTGTGTGTGTGTGTGTGTGACAGCAAATACCAGTGTGCCTGTATTTGTTTGCATGTTTGTGCTGACAAGAGAGACAGGAAGTGTACTTACGACAGTCCTGCTCGTCGGAGTCGTCCTCGCAGTCGTTGTCCCCGTCACACACCCAGGAGCGGCGGATACATTTACCGTTGTCGCAGTGGAAGTCCAGCGGCGAGCAGGTGGGAAGCACTGCAAACAAACAAGGCGAGACAAAAGCTCTGTCAGCACAAACAAACCAAACAAACAGTGCCAGGCTGAAAGGATAAGGGAGTTTGCTGTGGTTTTCAGGAGGTACACGACTATCCGATTTAGGTGCTTTTCTATCAGAATTGTACTTTTTTGTCACTTTTCCTTTGCTTTATTCTTTTATATCGTATTTCCATGCAAGCTGCATCATTGTATTGTAGGATACACCATGTCAGTATATATGACTCCATATTGAAGGCCTGAATGACGTTCAAATGAGAGATGCAATATGCAACATCATGACAGAGTTTCTGACGTTTAGCCTCTGGAAGTTACTCTTTATTTCAGGGCTAGGATATGAGTCAAAATACAAGGAAATCTTCATTAATATCTCAGCCCCCCTAGAAAGATTGTAGAGTTTTGATACATTTTCTTTGCACGTCATTAGCATGAGCAGTATAATTATATATAAATAATGTTTTTATCTTGATGCAAAACTACAAGCAGACGCACAAAAACATTTAGAAAATAATACTGTCTAAAATTGGTAAAATTATCTTACCGAAAAAAACTGTAATAAAATAAGATTATGGATATGAGCTGCTGTTTTACATCATCCGATCAATATGGTAAATGCTTTAGGATCCAATACCCAGCCTTACCATCAACAATAACATACCTATTAGTTCAAATTGAGCCATTTGGCCGAACCTGGTTTCATCAAACCTTCTCTCTTTTACCCAATACACTACATATTATAAGTGTGTGTATGTGAACTGGGTCTCTGGGTAGTTGGGATGGGCATTTCTCACATTATTGACCACACCATAAAACAATGAATCATACAATTAATCTGCTGATTCTTTGCTGCAAAAAAACAACAATAAATCACAGTGTTTTGATAATCAGAGGGGACGTCAATCCAACACAGTGATGAAGCGTTGCCCGATCTCTCACTCATCACTCCTGCAGTAAAGGTCAGACACAGTTTAAATGCAGGAGGTTTAACTCTCTGTCTGGTCTCAGCTCATCCACAGGCTGATCTGGACCAACGCTCCTCTCTCTCACCTTCTTAGCCCGAGACCCAGAACTCAACTCAGAGCATTCCTCCTTAACTTCATATCCGCTCTAAGTGCAGCTACTCGCTATCTAAGCACAGCCCAAATGACTGGCCCTTTGTCATCTGCAGGCAAAGTTAATTTAATTACAGGCCAGAGAGGGATGGAGGGAGGAGGAGGAGGAGGAGAGAAGGGGAAAGGAGGCGAGGGAACAGCAGCTACGCACAGTGGACTCTCACTCGCTTGTCAATACCACATATGAAATATTGACCGAGCAACGCAGACTTTATGAAAAATGAATGACGTCACGCAGCGAGTTAAGCAGCGAGGCAGACAGGCGGACAAGCCGGGGCTCAGTGAGTGAATTAAGTGAGTGTGTGTGAGTGTGTGTCGGGGTGTGGCTCTGCTCTCCAGGGGAAGCAAAAGCCCCACTGACCCACATACCCCTGCATGGATATTACATTATTCAGAGTGAAACACAAAGACAGAGAAAGAGAGGTAATCAAACAGAGCTCTTTCTCTCGTCCGCCTCACCTTCCGATGAACTTCTGTGGTTAGGCAAAATATGCAACGTGAAACGCATTTCTGCAAGCAATTATCTGAATCTTACAATCAGTTTCTTTACGTCTCTCCCTACAGGCAGTCATTGGTTTCACTTCTGTTCAGCAGGATGGGAAAATCCACTTATTCCAGATGAATGAAATGAGACTTGAGATAAGTCATTCTCCATTACAGAACAACCATTTCAACCTTTACACTTTTTGTGAAAATTGTTTTGTCATTTTGTAATAGCTTTCCTATGATCTTTCCTTCATGTTTCTATAACATACAGTAGCTCATTACAATTCCCTTTGTCTAGCAGACAATCCATTTTACATGTTGTAGCATATTTATGAAAAATGGCTGCTGCTCTCAAAACATAACTCTTATACAGTATACTCTCTCAATGAATCATAAAGCTGATAAAAGGTTTAGAGGATTTAGCAAAGTATTTGTTTTTCTAAGAGTTTACACATAGATTATTAGAATAATAATAACCATGTAGTATAACTTTGAACTAAGTTGATCAAAAAAATCATTCAGTTTCCTGATTTAATAATGAGTTGGTAGACAGGAATGGGAGACATGTTTGACAGTTGATCATTGAACATAAAAAATCAAATATGATATCTGTTTTTAGTTTTTCAAATGTAAGACATTTTTTACTTACTTTAATTAGCTTAAAGGTGGGGCAGGTAATTTTGGAGAAACCAGCTCGAGTGCGCACACACGAACGCGCACATGACCAATGAGGGCACGAGATAAGTTTGTGCACAGATGGAAGGCTGACAGGCAGGTAGGCCATCCAGTTATTTTAGCCGGGCCGGCTAAAATGATTGGTCATGCTTTTACAGCGCAACGGCTTCCACAGATACATTTTTGTATGGATTTTTTGTCAAAGCACTTAAGATATTCATTGCTATTGGGATGTTAAAAGCATTACATGGAATATAACTAAAAGTGCCGAGCCGGTTTCTCAAACTTACCTACCCCACCTTTAAGTCAACTAAATTAATCTACATGTCAAACAAAATGGACAATTTAAATATGTCAACATGGGCCCAGGGAAATAAAAATGGTATTGGAACAGTATTCCAAAACTATTGATTTGCTTGGAATGGTCAATTTAATCACAATTAGTTCCAAATTGTGAAGCCATACTCCTCAAGGCCATTAGTCCCTCTCAATTAACACAATTGTTCTTCAAAGGCAAAGTGCAGAGTTCAATATTTGCCAGGAATGCTGCAATAAGTGGCAACTGCAGTAACATTCACAGTGATCTGATAAGTTGAGTCCTGACGCCAACACACTTCCTACAAACCTCTCTTTGTCAAACTGAAGCATTTTAATGTTTTTTGGATGAATCTCCGACTGGGCGTCCAACAAGAAAAGAAAAATGCTTCTTTTTAACATTTCAATAAATAATTCAGCTTATCAGAAGAGGAACGGAGCGTGGTTTTGACAGGCAGGCAGGCAGGCAGGCAGGCAGGCAGGCAGGCAGGCAGGCAGGCAGGCGCACACACACACACACACACACACACACACAA